TCACTGTTGTGGCCTCTCCCGTTGCGGAGCACAGGCTCCGGACGCACAGGCTCAGCAGCCATGGCTCACGAGCCCAGCCGCTCCGTGGCATGTGGGATCTTCCCGGACCGGGGCACAAACCCATGTCCCCTGCATCGGCAGGCAGACTCTCAACCACTGCGCCACCAGGGAAGCCCCTCAATTTTGTTACTTTATACAAAGTATGTATTAACAGGATATTGATGATTGGTGTGTTTTTACTTTAAGAAGGAGATATAATGAATTTGTCATTAACATACCATATGTTGAAAGAGGCTGCCCAACAGGAATAGTTTTTCTTAAGTAGGTTAAATAATTCTTATTTGCAGCCTACATTTAACTTTCTTATCTTGCCCTTTGTTCATAATACAAAAATAAATCTCAAATTTGTGGTCAGATTGGTACTAATTTCAAGTTATTAATGACTTAATGAGGTATTATTGAACTGTCAATAATGCTTTTGTTGATTTTGTTTCTCTTTTAGAGAAGAAAACTGCATCTCAGCCCTGAGCACTGTAGTAACTTTTATGTGGAACAGTATGGGAAAATGTTTTTCCCCAATTTAACAGCTTACATGAGTTCTGGACCACTTGTTGCCATGATATTAGCTAGACATAAAGCCATCTCTTACTGGAAAGAACTCCTGGGACCAAGTAATAGCTTAGTAGCTAAGGAGACACACCCAGACAGGTAACTTTCCTGGGGGAGAAATGGAATCCAACTATGAAAATGAAAAAAAAAAAATCTGATTTCGTTGTAATAGGAATTTCCTTTAATTTGAAAGTTTTCCTAAATAACCTGATTTTTTTGGTGGTGGTGGAGGGCTGGGTGGGGGAGGTCCATTTTGTGTTTTAACCACTTAAATGTGTATTTTAATATCAAATACCACAAAAAGTCTCAGAGAATTTTGATTTATGGTTGACTAGCCTTATTTTTCTCTCATCCTTGAATTAAACTGCCACTGGTGTAGGATTTTTCATGGGAAAATTGGTATGGTATTTTATAGAATATTGGTAACGCAGGACCGGAAACTCAGATTTTCAGCATTATCATTAATGTCTGGAAACCAGAGGGCATTGAGTTCTTGCACTTTGAAAATGCATTGCTTTTTCAGTTGTCACAAAACAACACCTCTTTTTCATCCAGGTAACTCTTATTTTTCCAGTGTATCCCTCCCACAGATTTAAATATACTTGACCCTCATGTAAATAGATTTATGCTTAAATTCAAAATAGATTAAGACCTCCATATGTGAGAAGTGGCGATGCTTCTGTAAAATTCCTAAATAGAATGCATATGTGAAAAGTAAAGAAAGTATGTCAGGTTGGATGGTCATCATCTTTAACTTGCTTTTAGTCTAAGGGCAATTTATGGCACAGATGAGCTAAGGAATGCACTTCATGGAAGTAATGATTTTGCTGCAGCAGAAAGAGAAATGCGATTCATGTTTCCTGCAGGTGAGTTACAGATGAGTAATTAGTTGCATCTACTTGTTTGCTTTCTCTTTTATTTTGGAGATGAAGCTGGGAAGGAAGATAACAGGGTTTTTCTCCAGTATATTCTGTCATATTTTCAAGTTGTAGTTACTTAACTTGAAGCCAAGAGTAGAAAACATTTTTCTCAGAACTAAATTGTGACCTCTAGGGAATATTTTGAGAAGAGTTTACTTTTTTTTCTTTCTTTTCTCTTGGGTTTTTCTTCTTCTGTGTTGTAATTCCTTTTAGTTATCCCTAAATGCATCAGTCAAATTTGTTACACTTGAAAAAAGAATCTTCTTTGGAAATTATGACTGATTTGCCATTTTCTCTAACAGTTTACTGTTTGTCTAACAAACTCATGGTTTTATGAAATTAATAGTTCTCAGGCCCTCTTTTTGTTTCCAACCTGTTATGAAAGTTATAAACCTTTTATAAGTGGGTATAATAAGGAGCAGCACTGAGGTTTTTAGTTTATTTTCAATAATATTTTTAGAGCAGAAAGGAATTTTGGTGATTTTCATTATAAAGAAAAGTCAAAGCATTGGGCAATTTTGAATTTTTTTTGGCTTTTTTTTTTTCTCTAAGTAATTTAGACCTGTTCCTCAGTATTTTCTGCTGAAGATTTATTCAAAGAAAATTGAAAATTGTCTTGGAGATTTAAAAGTTCAGATTTTTGAACAAAAACTGTTTTAAAGATATCTGTACACAAAAAGGATTTGCCTACTACATACTTTATTTCTGTGACAGAAATTTCTGTCGTATCCATCCCATTAAGATATTTTTTTCGTTGGAACTGTTTATTGTGGAATATTTACACAAAAGTAGATAGCATGGTATAATAAACCCCTAATGAACCCATCACCCAGCTTCAGCAATTTTGGTCAGTCTTTTTTTTTCTAATTGAAGTATAGTTGGTTTAGTTCAGTACTATTTCATCTATAACCCCTGCTCCTACTTTTCCTACTTCCATATTATTTTGGAGCACATCTTAAACGTGAGATGTCTTTTTAATGTGGTAGATCTTTAGATTTAGTCCTACTAGTGAATTAGACTTTTCCTCCTTAGCTTTTAACTGAAATAGAGTTAAAAGCTCATTTATCTTAAGCAGAAGATATTTTTGGAAGCACTTCTTACTCATAGGGTTATATCCCTAAACTGTTATTTTAGATTGATTTTACCCATTAATTAATCCTCTAGATACAGTTAAACATTTGAGAAGCAGCAGTTGTAGGATAAAGATAAATGATTTATTACCTACTACCTTGCAGGTCTCTTGCTATGAGAATGTGAAGTTCTTGAGAGAAAGTTCTCAGAGTTTATGATATGAGCTCCCTCTTGCTTAGCAGTCAGTCAGGAACTATATGCAAAACCCTATATGATGAGGAGTCACTAAAGCAAGTTACAAAGATATTCTAAAACATATTCCTAATCCTTGAAAAAGTTAGTGCTCTTCCCTTCCCTTTTAATAGGGATGGCTGATTCAAAGCTTTGCTATATTCCATTCATTCAACAAATTTATTGAGTTAATTACTGTGTGCCAGAAATACAAAGATGAATAAGATGTCTCTGCTCTTTTCAAGAAGACTGTATTTTAAAAGTCTATAAAAATAAATATACAATGCAGTATATAAATTATGCCATGAAAAAGCTTTTAAAAGTACATTGAAAGTTTATCTATGTAAGAAACATGAAAACACTTTTTAGTTTCTCATTAATTAATCCAGCCCTATTGTCAAAAATCAGTTGGCCATAAATGTAAGAATCTCATTCTAGATTCTCAGTTCTGCTTCATTGATCTTTATTTTCTATCCTTATGTCAGTACCATACAGTCTTAATTATTGTGGTTTCGTAATAGGTTTTGAAATCAGGTTAGTGGAAGTCCTCCAACTTCCAAATAATAAGTGGTCAGAGACAAATAATAAATGCTCAGCAAAAACAGAGAAACAAACAATCCAAAAATGAAGTTAAGGAAACAGTTTTATTCACAATAGCATCAAAAATAAGATATTTAATAATAAATTTAACAAAAGAAGTAAAATTCTTGTGCACTGAAAAGCACTAAATGTTGCTGAGAGAAATTCAAGAATATCTAAATAAATAGACATCCCTTGTTCCTGGAAGAGTCAATATTGTCAAGATGGCAGTTCTCTCCAAATTGATAAATTTAATACAATCTCTTTAAAAATCTATGAATGCTTTTATGTAGAAACTGACAAGCTGATTCTAAAATTTATATGGAATTGCAAACGATCTAGAAGAGCTAAAACAATTCTGAAAACAAAGAACAAAGTTGGAGGACCTCCACTAACCTGATTTCAAAACCTATTATGAAACCACAATAATTAAGGCAGTATGGTCCTGACATAAGGGTAGACATAAAGATCAGTGAACAGAAATGAGAATCTAGAATTAGATTCTTACATTTATGTACAATTGATGTTCGACAAAAGTACGTAGAAAATTTGATGGGGAGAGGGTAGGCTCTTCAACGAATGGTGCAGAGACAACTGGATATCCACATGCAAAAACAAACAAAACAACTTAGACCCTTGGTTCACACCACACACAAAATTTAACTCAACATGGATCATCAACCTAAACATAAGAGCTAAAAACATCTACAAGAAAATATTAAAAATCTTCATTACCTTGAGTTGGACAAAGCTCTTAAATATGACATCAAAAGTATGATCTATAAAGGAAAATATTGATAAATTGGACTACATGAAAATTCAAAGCTTTTCTTCTTTTTTAAAAGCCATCATTAAGAGTATGAAAAGGGGACTTCCCTAGTGTCACAGTGGTTAAGAATCCACCTGACAATGCAGGGGACACGGGTTCTATCCCTGGTCCAGGAAGATCCCACATGCCATGGAGCAACTAACCCCGTGCGCCACAACTACTGAGCCTGCACGCTATAGCCCGCGAGCCACAAATACTGAGCCCACGTGAAGCCCACACGCCTAGAGCCCGTGCTCTGCAACAAGAGAAGCCACTGCAATGAGAAGCACATGCACTGCAGCGAAGAGTAGCCCCCGGCTCACCACAACTAAAGAAAACCCGCACGCAGCAACGAAGACCCAATGCAGCCAAAAATAAATAAATAAATAAATATATTTTTTAAAAAAGTATAAAAAGATAACGACAGACTGGGAGAAAATATTTGCAAATGATATATCAGGTAAAGCACTTGTATCCAGAATATGTAAAGAACGTTTACAATTCAATACTAAGACAAACAACTGAATTAAAAACTGGGCAAAATAATTGAATAGGCATTTCACAAAAGAAGATGAATGGCTGATAAGCACATGAAAAAGTGCTCAACATAATTAATCATTGGGGAAATGCAAATTGAAACAATGAGATACCACCTGCATACCCACTAGAATGGCTATAATCAATGGCAAGGATATAGAGATACTGGCATTCTCCATACAGTATTGTAAAATGGTACAGCCACTTTGGGAAACAGTTTGGTGATTTCTTAAAATGTTAACACATCCACGTAACATGTAACTCCACTAGCAGTTCTACTACTGGCAGCATGTACCTACACAAGAGAAATGAAAACATAACTCTACTTAAACACACGTGAATATTCATGGTAGCATTATTTAATACAGCACCAAACAGGAAACAATCCAACTGTTCACCAATGGATAAGCAGTATTTAGTATAGCCATACAATGGAATACTACTCAACAATTAAAAGGAACAGACTCCTAATACATGCTACAACATGGGTGAACCTCAAAACATTATGCAAAGTAGAAGAATCCAGGCACAAAAGACCATATATTATATGATCCGTTTATTGGAAATGTCCAGAAAAGATGTTTTTAGAAACAGAAAGAAGCTTCGTGGTTGCCAAGGGCTGGGGGTGGGAGTGGTAGTGGTGAATTGCAAATGAATACAAGGAAACATTTTTGCGCTGATGGATGTTTTCTAAAACTGGACAGCGGTGAGGATCACGCAATTATAAGTTTATTAAGTTGTATACTTCAGTGGAAGAATTTCATGATAAGGGAATTATACCTCAATAAAACTTAAAAAAATAAAATTATAAAAAATAGATGAGGTTTCTGCTCCCATGGAGTTTATAGTTTAATATTCAAAAGATAGCCATTAAACAATAATTACCTATATAATTGCATAGTTATTATCTAACAGTTGCATAGTTATTGTGTGGTAAGTACTATACGGCAATTAGAGGGTATCATGAGAGACTGGTAACAAGACAGGCCCAACTGAAGAGTGACATTTTAGTTGAGATCCAAAGGATAAATAGTGGTTAACCAGAGAACGGGGAGAACATTCTAGCAGAAGAACAGCAAGTGCTCAAGTGATGAACAGGAAAGAATATGGCACATGGCACATATAAAAACTGAAAGATCTGGAGGAAGAGACACTGAGATGAGGTTGAAGAGGTAAATAGAGGACACACAGTGTAGTCTGTAGGCCAATGTATGGAATTCTGTCTTGAATATAAGTGCAGTAAGGAATCAATGAAGCGAGAAGCAAGAAGAACTACAGTCCTGCAGCCTGTGGAACAAAAACCACATTCACAGAAAGAAAAGATGAAAAGGCAGAGGGCTATGTACCAGAAAAAGAAACAAGATAACACCCCAGAAAAGCAACTAAATGAAGTGGAGTTAGGCAACCTTCCAGAAAAAGAATTCAGAATAATAATAGTGAAGATGATCCAGGACCTCGGAAAAAGAATGGAGGCAAAGATCAAGAAGACGCAAGAAATGTTTAACAAAGACGTAGAATTAAAGTACAGACAAACACAGATGAACCATACAATAACTGAAATGAGAACTACACTAGAAGGAATCAATAGCAGAATAACTGAGGCAGAAGAACGGATAAGTGACCTGGAAGACAGAATGGTGGAATTCACTGCTGCGCAACAGAAGAAAGAAGAAAGAATGAAAAGAAATGAAGACAGCCTAAGAGACTTCTGGGACAACAT